GCATGCGATAATTGGTTTTCTGCTTACAGGGGGGTACAGCGTTTCTGTTTTAAATTACTTTATTTGAGGCTGGAAGTCAGCTGATTTAAAGAAGAAAAAATATGCCGGTTGTGGCTCAGTTGGTGGAGCACTGTCCCATGCAGCAGGAGGTCATGGTTCCACTTCCAGCTGGGGCACATGCCAGGGCTACAGGCTCGATCCCCAGTAGGGGGCGTGCAGGGGGCAGCTGATGGATGTTTCTCTCTCATTGATGTTTCTATCTCTGCCTCTCTCTTCCCCTCTCTGAAATCAGTACAAATCTATCAGAAACAAAAACACTGGGTCTCTGACGACTGAAGAGCCAGAGATGCCGGGGCGAGCCCCAGAACCAAGGCAGGAAGCACAGGGCACGTCCCAGGAGGAAAGGGCCAGTTCACCTGGACCAGAGCCCAGGGTGCATGTGATTCAGAGAGGCTAGGAAGGTAAACTGAGGCCACGTGGTAGAGAAAGCCTGGAGGCTGACGGGTGGTGTGTGGCCTGTTGACCATGGGGATTCACAAAGGTTTCCAGCCCCCTCACCAGAAGGGGCCTGTCCCCCACACGGGGCTGGTTTGGGGGGAGGAGAGGAGGAAAAGTGAGGCATGTGGGCTGTGAGGCAGAGAGGCCCGGGAAGCAACTGGCAGGCCTGGGCGCTGATGACCACAGGGAGGCCCTGAGAATGGAAACGGCAGCCCCAGGAGGTGGGGGCTCATCCCCAAATCCTGTATGTCCTGGAGGCCCCACCAGGGGCACAAACAGAACAAAACACAGGCCAAGCGGCGAGCCCAGAGGCAGGTGTAGCCCAGGCAGTCCTCTAGGATGGAGATCCTAATCACCATATAAGGAATAAAAACCAGGGAAAGGAGGAAGGGGGGGAAAAAGATTGGAACAGGCTTAAAGAAAAAAAGAAAAAAGGACCTAAAGATAGCCTAAACAAAACACGCCCGCCCGCCCGGCCTGCCTCACTGTCTGCCGGCCATATGGTGTGCGATAAGCCAGCGCTTTTATTTATCTTCCTCCGCTGTCTATTACACCCTCCGACAGGCTCCACTGTGACAACCAGCTCCCAGTCCTCGCTCCCGGAGGCAGCCAGGCGGTGATCCTCCCCCGAGCCTTGCTGCCTGTCTCGGCCCCACAAGCGCCCTGGCCTCCACAGCTGTTTCCCCACATCTGGAGGAACGACAAGCCAGGCCAGCTGGGCCACCCCGCAGACAGCCCGCCAGCTCATTAGCACTCACCCTCACTGGCTAACTTGGCCATGACCAGGGTCCTCTGCTAGGACCCAGACAATACTAGTAGATAGAAACACACACACACACACACACACACACACACACACTCTCTCACACACACATACACTCTCACACACACACTCACACACACACACACACACACACACACACACACCTCTCCTTGTGGCAAGAAGTTATCAGACACCTTGAGTGCTGCTTAATAAGGATGCTGCCTCGAACCATCAACGCCTGAGGGCTCATGCCTTTCTGATGTAGCCACCCACCTCCATCTCCCTGCATGAAAAAACGGTCAAGCAATAAACTATATCCGCATTTCGCCAGGTCCAAGTTCACTGCTGTTCCCTACCGTGACCCAGACAATCACAGGAAGGTCGACGCCAGCTCCGCACGCCTGAGCCCTAGCCTCAGCCTAGGACCACCTCTCACTCTCGCCTCTCCTCAGCCACGTTTGCACTGAACGGAGAAGTGCGACACGGGGGGTGGGAGGCGATGGGTAGGGTGCGCCTTCCAACAGGACGCCCAGTTAAATCTGAATTCAGATAAACAACAGATACATTTGATTAAAATTTAGCTTTTTTTTTTCGTTTTATTTCTCAATTACAGTTTACACTCAGTATTGTTTTGGAGGAGTCCCAAGGGTAGGGTTAGAGACAATCCCATCCTTTGCAAAGCGTTCCCCCTGGTATTGCCAGTACCCACCTTGGACTCTGCACAGTCGTTACAGTATCAGTAGTGACTTGATTCCCCGTGTTGTACTTGGCATCCTCGTAACTATTTCAACAAATATATTTTAATAGAGGTGTACCACATGCACTATTTGGGATGTACTTATGCTAAAAAAATTATTTGTTGTTTATCTGAAACGCAGCTTTAACCAGAAAACCCTATAGTCTTATTTGCTCAATCTGGCTGCCCTGGATGTCAGGGAGTGGGAGGAGGAAGGCCTCTGGCTGCCCTGCTCTTCCTCAGGGAACCCTGGGAGGCTGCCTCTGGCCCACACCTCGGGGTCGCTGTTCCCCGAGGGCACTCTGCAAAGGCCTGGCAAGCTCTGTGCGACCCTATCTCTCAGCCTAAGCAAGAAGCCCCAGAGCCCGGAAGGACAACATGTGAGGGAGACCCAGCAGGAGGAAGTCCCAGGGAAGATGCCCCGCCTCCAGGAAGATGCCCCGCCTCCAGGAAGTACAGAGAGACCAAGCACAAGTACCTAAGACCAGGCCATGTTAGAATGTGAGCCTGTGCTGAGCAGCCTCACACCCCCAAGCCAAAGTAAAGTAGCACCTAGAGGGGCAGGTGGCTGGTTGGCTTAACAGGAGCATGAACTATTTTATTTGTTTATTTTTATAAGAGAAAACTTATTTAGAAAGTCACGGAGGTAGGAGTGAGCGGGGGAAGATAGGGGCTCAGGGAACAAGTTGCAGAGGCAAAAGAAAGGGCCCTTAGAGCTTAGGAGAGAGAAGGGTATAGGTCACATGCCTTGGGGGAGGGGACGGATCCAGGCAAGGGTGTGCTCTGGGAGTGCCCAGTGCCAAGGAATGACCAGCCGCTGACCCACAGGCAGAGGCAGAGGGCACAGGAGGTGGAAGGACCCCTGTGACCCAGACCATGTGGTAAGTGAAATGAATGTGGGCTTTGGAGTCTCACAGAGCCAGTAGGTGTCCAATCAGATGAATACATTGACCGCTCTGTGTCTCAGTTTCAGCGTCTCTAAAATGGGCACGTTTACTTACCTTGAAAGCTGGTTGCAAGAATGAAACATTGCATGATGAATACACTTAAAGGACCCTGCATGGAGCCTGAACGCAGCAGGTGCTACGCTTCATTATCATTTGATTGAGCTATATGTAACTGCCAATATTCTAACAGTCTTCTTGACTTACAAAAATGGCAACTTCATGTAGTGTAACCTAATCTTATGAGCCAGCGCCTTTCTGACAACAGCAAAAATAGTCCACAGATTAAGGGTGAAGTGTCATTCTATTATTGCATTTGCCCAACCAAATGATCATGCTTACCTTCAGCTGCTGGGTCATCCATCCTGAGGGCTTTTAAGGGCGGGATGGACTGTTTTATAAAAGGCTTTCACCCGGTTTTGAGGGCAGTGGGTCTGGGCAGGTCCCAGCACGAGTCCTGGCAGGAGACGTAACCCAGCCCCAATGAAAGGCCTCTCAGGGGCACGGACTCATGGGCTCTGGGCCAGGCCAAGTGCCATGGATGTGTGCCCCATTTCTCTATATACAACCCAGAAACATCTAGAAGCAGCTGTTACTCTCCCACTCTGGCACTTAGGGCAATAATAGAATGACACTTCATCCCTAATCTGTGGACTATTTTTGCGATCGTCAGAAAGTCACTGGCTAATAATATTAGGTTAAACTACATGAAATTGCCATTTTTGTAAGTTAAGACTGTTAGAATATTGGCGATTACATATAGCCCAAACAAATGATAAGAGCATGTATTTTGTATTTTCTTAATGTAGTTCGGGATCTATAATAACTATCATACGTAGTTACATATTCAGTAAACACAAAATTATTGAGTTATTGCATCATTGAATGATACATAGCTTATACTTTGTCTTACTAGGTCTTACAGGTTTGAAAAATATTGGCAATACTTGTTATATGAATGCAGCTTTGCAGGCTCTTTCTAATTGGTAAGTAGAGAAATTGATTTTTTTTTGTTTGTATAGCTTTTTAAAGTTAATCTGAGCAGAAAATCATGCTCTGTAGTATGAAAAAAAGGGGTTAAAAATAGATACACATTAATAGTAATAAAATATATTTTTATTGATACCAGAGAGGAAGGGAGAAGGAGAGAGAGAGAAACATCAATGATGAGAAATCATTGATCGGCTACCTCCTGCATGCCCCCCCACCAGGGATTGAGCCCGGGCAACCCGGGGAATGTGTCCTTGACCGGAATGGAACCCAGGACCCTTCGTGAGACTCCAAAGCCCACATTCATTTCACCTCCCATGTGACCTGGATCACAGGGGTCCTCCCACCTCCTGTGCTCTCTGCCTGTGCGTCAGTGGCTTGTCATTCCTCAGCACTGGGCACAACCAAGATTCCCACCCTGCCATCGCCTGCCTCCGCAGGGCCCACTCTGTAGCTAATCAAAGGCTGGCCTCCTGAATTAGCAGCAAAGTGTATTTAACAAACAATTTCAAGAGGAGAAAAGCATTTGAGCATTTATTTAGAGTGAGAGGGGAAAGAAGCCAAAAGAATGCACTCCTAAAATAAACAGAAAGCAATCCGGGGAGAAAAACCTAGTCCCAGGGAGAAAAATCTAGTCCAACCAGTTTTAAAACGCCTTACCCATGACTCTGAGCTAACACGTAGTGGACCACTGAGCGGGCATCAGGTGCAGTGCGATCCAGCATCACTGCAGACCCAGAAGCATGTGCTTCTGTGACTCTCCTCTGAGATTACTGAGCCTCCTCAAGGGGAGAGGAAGAGAAACCTCCCAGAAGAACAAGTCAAAGACAGAGAGGGTGACCGCTCTCCTGGCCCACCCACCAGAACGCCCCTCGGGGACCGAGACTAGCACGATAACATAAATAAAGGGCTGTCAGGCTCAAACTTTCAAACAAGAATAAAGGAATGTTCTCCTGCTCGTGACGATGTTGGATGTCAGGGCACACTCAATGCACAATGAACGCAGCTTCCACAGTCCCACGTGCACACGTGCAGACCTCAAAGGCGGAGGAGACAAAGCAGGACTGACCTTCACGTGCGCCACGTAGTGATGACACGTCTCCTCCATGTGCGCCAGATGCAGCTTTTCCGAGACCTGGCCCACGGTCTCTCCCAGCAGCACAAAGTAGACCCGGGGCAGCTGGCTCTTTTCCTTTTTCGCCACATCCGCCGTCAGAATGTAATTCAGGCCTGCCAATGCATAAGGTCGAAATGTCAGGGAGGACAGACACACAGGGTCAAGCCAGCTCCACTCCTCCTCACAGGATCATGAGGGCATCTCAGACAGCTAACCCTCCGCTGCACGGGGGCCTGTTGCCTGGGCCTACAGCTCCTCGGGGAGAAGCATACAGCCAGGTGCTGGCAGAATCCAGAGACGTCCAGGGGCCCCGGCCTTCCTGCCCAGCCTCTGTGCATCACACTCCGTGGCTCCCCCCGATTTAAACCTCATGAACTATCAACTGAGCCACCAAGACCCGCGTCAACAATCCGCTGTGCTCAACGTGATCCGTGTCCTGCCAAGGGGACACCCTGTCGAACCCACAGACCAGCACTAGGAGCTGCTCAAAAGATCAGGCTGCCTGTAGTAGTGACTTCTACAAAGCAATGGGATCTATGCCCAACACAAGGGAGGAATTATCCACTCATTTCCGACTCACATGCTCTATAATCACTCCGTCCACTGGGTTGTGCACCACTGGGTACAGACCGTGTGCCAGGCACTGTGGGGTACAGGGGACACAATGGTGAACCATACAGACCAATCCCCCCGTCCTTACAGAACTGACACTCACGGAAACACACAGAGTCTGAAGCTTTCTTCCCAGGCAGCCACATGCGGTAATCACACATTGTAGCGTGCCTTGACCGCCGTGGGGCATGTATGAGGTGCCCTCCTGCAGAGCCAAACTCATCACTTACACCTCTGTGTGTAACGCCAGCTGGTAGAGCCTGCTATGACACAATCTGGGACTTCTTTAAAAAATGGTCACAATAAAGAATGCACATTGGATGAACCCAAAAGGTTCGTTCCACCTCTGTTATTTGAATCTGTTAGAAAATATAGGACAATGTGTTTTAGTAGGTAAATACGGCACTAGTATCAACGGGCCTATTTCACTGCTCATCTGCACCAAAGAACCCCGATTCAGAGGTCACCCCCTTTGTACCCCTTCATTTTTAGCTGCTTTGTGGGATATGACATTTGTAAAGTGAGAGAAAAGGAACTTTCTGTCCATAAGTGACCATACGAGACTGCTGAGCAATGGGGAACCCTGCCCCGGCCCTACCCCCACCCCCCAGCCTCTTGGAAGCTGGGCTCTGGCATCCTCACGCCCACGGGCACTGACGCTGGGAGACCAGGCACCCGGATGGCTCCAGCTCTGAATCCCATCACAGGGCTCAGCCACCGGGGAAGGCATGGAACAGGAGAGAGAGAGAGAGAGTGACCTGGGCTGGCACTCTGCAGCTGCCACCAGGCATGTTTTTGATGCATTTAATGGTTTCCCTGGGCCTCTGCCATCTCAGGCGTCTTGCCAGGCCAAGCTGGCGGATTCCTGGGCAGCAAGGGCCAGTCTGCCCCAACTTGTTTCTTGCAGCCAACAGCTGATGTCCACGGCCAGGCTGGGTCCCCAGGAGCGACCTGGGACCTAGATCATCCCGGAGACACTATTGAGAGGAAAAGAATGCCTGTGGGAAAGTACTTCAGCAGACAACACACAGGAGCCTGTGCAACAGCGACACCCCGACTCCCTTGCCAACAACAGCGGAAAATGGAGTGCATGCATAGAACGTCAAGTGTTCAGGGCAATCCTAGGGACCATCTAGTCCAAACCCTCATTTTTCAGATGAGGAGCTGAGGCCTCAAAAGCGAACAAGACTTGCTCCAGGCCAGGGAGCCATGCAGCTCAGGGCGGGATCTAGACCTCCCTAGTCTGCCATGCGGGCTACTCCTCCCATCCGGGTTCTTGGTGCATTTCTTATACGGCTGACAAAAAACACACCTCGCCTTTTTGAGCGCACAGCCAAACAAGCGCAAAGATCTAGAACTGAACTCCGGCCAATTTCCTTTTTACTGGTCACCACTAATCTCAGCAACAGTCACACAGTAAGAAAGGACAAGTGTAAGTGAAATGAGTGTCCTAGTCCTGTTTAGCAAGATTGGAGCTAGAGGTGGGTGTCGTCGATGGAAGAGGAGCCGGAGGCCTTGGCAAACCACCACTGTGGTGGTGGCAGCTGCTAACCAGGGCCCCTGGGCAGCTCCCTCCCTGGCCGTCCTCCCAGGTGACAGTGCTGCGGTGACCCTCCCTCAGGAAGGATGACCATGCAGAGAACACAAGTTTGACCCATCTTGCCAGCAGCGAGCTGGCTGAGCTCGGAGAAAACCTGGGCGGAAATGAACACAGGAAAACAGAGCGGATCATAGCAGGGCCCCACCCACATCCTCTTGGCTTTTCTCGCGTCTCCGCTGTCCAGCCTGCCTTGGCCCTGCCAGCACCTGCACCCCCTTTCCCAAGGGCTTTCTGGTGCAGGACAGGCCGGGGGCACCCCAGGGCTCCAGTGCCCAGAGCAGCCCTCAGGACGGCATGACCCAGCTCCCTCGTCCCTTGGGAGGGGCGCTCCACCCTCCCTCCCAGGGTTCCCCACAGAATTCACCTCCAGCTCACGGTGGTGACGTGCTCAGCCACACACCTTCTGTGTGGCAGCTGTAACGATGGCTTGTGTGTCCACTTGACTGGGCCACAGTTACCCAGATACTTGGTCAAAGACCAATCGGGATGCCACCACAAAGGTGTTTTATTTTTTTAGATGAGATTAACATTTAAATTAGTACAAAGCGAATAAAGCAGATTACCCTCCATAACGTGGTGGGCCTCACCTACTCAGCCCAAGACCTAAAGCAAAAGAAGACGAAAGTTCCCCCGAAAAAGAAGGCATTCCGCTTCCAGAGCCACACACCCTCGTGTTCTGTTTCTCCGGGGAACCCCGACGGGCGCCACTGCCTTCTCTTCCTGTCTCACTGTCCCCCTTCCCTACTGGTGCTTCCTGGGGTCCCCCTCCTGCATCAGCCACGTGCCCCCGAGTCCCTGACTCCAGGCCCTGCTTCTGGGAAGATCCGAATTAAAACGGGGCAAGTCAGGAAAAGGGAATGAGCTCATCTTTCAACACGTGCCAGGCACTGTGCTGGGCACCTGACAAAGACCAACTTCAGTCCCCAGGGCCCCATCTCACTGCAGAATCGCGGACGCCATCCACTCCTCTTGCGACTCAAGGTACGGGAGAAGCCGCTCAGAGACTGGGCCGAGGACCACAGCTACGCCTGCTCGAGGCGGCACGTGGGCACGGCGGCACGTTCACCGGCCAGACTCTTCTCAAATGCTGCAGCATACGGTCACAGACAGGCCCAATCCTCCCACTCCCTGAGCACGAGCATTCTGGAAGCTTTTCATCTTTAAGGATCACCTACTTAGTGCTTCTCCTCGATTTACAATTTCCTTTGACGTTTTAAATTACGCAAACAGAAGTTCCCTTCGTATCAAACTCTCTCTCCTAGAAGGAAGCGGCCCCCCAGGAGACGTAACGATGGAAACACAGCCTGAGGGAGGAGGTCTCGGAGCTGCCAGGGCGGCAGGAAGAAGTGTAGCCCATGCTGAAGCCCTGAGCGTGGCTGGTAGTTTTCAACGGCACCCACCCCACGTGTGTCTGAAAGGGAGCCCCTGAGAAGGGGAGGAGATGTTGCGGAAGCAGCCAATCAGCCCGCTCGGTGAGGGCGCTGGGCCATGGGGGAGGGTGCCCCGCTGCCGGCAGCCCAGCCAGCCGCCCCCCAGAGGGTGCTGGTTCTGATTAGGACCCTCCCCAACAGCACCTCTCACGTCTGCATGTTTGCCTCCTGGCAGCTTGTGTCCATGCCATGTCCAATGATGTCATGTTGATGGAAAAGCTGATCAGCCCCAAGGACCGCTTCCAGCCGCCTCCTGCCCCTGCCCCCAGCTGGCTCCCCAGGGCCCCCCTGGACCAGGAGGGGGCCAGCTGTCTCGCATCAGCCCTGGCTCTGGTCTCTTCCAGCAAGTTGACTCCTTCCCTTATTCCGTCAAAATGTGATTTCAGCGGTGAAATTCAACCCATGCATTCTCCTCCCAGTTACTCTGAGGTCCCCTTAGAGCAAGCATGTCAAACTCAAAGACTAACACAGGCCCAATAAACGAGGCATGTGGCCCGTGGGCTGCGAGTTCGACATGCTTGCCTTAGAGTCTCCTGGGAGAGGAAGGGAAAGATTTCTGCTTCCACAGAATGAGTGGTGATTGTCACACCAGGTTATCCCATTCCTCATCTCACACGGATTTGCCTCATTAGCCCATCCCAATGCTCCTGGAGAAACTGGAAGGAGCTAAGACAAATGCACCCCAAAAGCTAAGGGTGAGGGATCAAGTCTCCCAGTTTCAACCCTATTTTTCTGCATTGGCTTGGATGACCTGGGGGCCCAGCTGCTGGTCTGGAGGGAGGGCAGGCACCCCTGAGTGCTCCTGGCTTTGCCAGGCTGACTGAGAGCCATGGAAGCACAGGTCGCAGAATCAGAGCACAAAACACAACCACTTAGGGCTCATCCCGCCCTGGTTTTGCTCTAAGGACTCAGGTCAGAGGCCAGAATGGTTGGCTCCTTCTTGGCCTCCAGAGGCTGACAGGCAGGTGGAGGCTGCAGCGTGGCCAGCAGGGGTCAGGGACAGAGTCCTCGGGGGCAACGCATTCACCACCTTACTTATGGCATCCAGGAGCACCCGAGGAGCCACAACCACTCCCCAAATCAAGAAAAAAGTGATTCATGAGACTTGGGGTGAGCAGACCTCTTGCTCGATGCAATACATCATAAACCCGTTCCTGAGGCTGTTGGAGTTCAGCGCTGTGTCTGCACCCCAACACTGAGCCAAGGGGCTGCCACTAAAGGGGCTCAGACACACCCAGAGGCAGCAGCATCGGCTGTTTCTGTCTGGATCATCTGCCTCTCCCAGCCCTCGATCGCAAGCTCCATGAGGACAGGACTTTGCCTGGCCTCTTCCCCGCTTTGCGCCCAGGACCCAGCATTTTTCAGAGCTTAATAAGGATCTGCTGATGGACTGACCCAGCAGGCGCTTCAGTAACTCCCTGGGACTGGACCCCCACTGGGCTGGTTTTGGGAGCTGTCCTCTCTCAGCTCCAAACCTGTCCTTCTCACTCTGCGCTGCCGGGGATGGGGCTCAGCAAACCCATGTCCTCTCTGCCAGGCGCCCTCTGTGTGGCTCTGCCAAGATGGAGCGCTGGGGGACAGGGGCTGCAAGGCTGGAGGAGGGAGAAGGGGCACGCTCGGTCCTGCCTGCTTTCCATTCCCACCAGCTTAACCCTGCATCCGTTTTTCACAGCAGCTGGCTCCAACAGCGGTTTATTCAAGTTTCAGTTTCTCCCCCACAGCCAGCCTCCCTGCACCCCCTCAGACACACCATCAGCGCCAGCTAGCAGCCTCTCCTCCAAGCTTTAGCAGGGGCTCTTTTCCCAGCTTCTAGATCTCCGAGAGTGGTCCCCCCAAGTGTAACCTTTTCCTTGGGTTCCCCTAGGTGACTAGAGGTGCTCAGAGCTAAGCCACCTGGAGGCTTGCTGGGCCCCACCCTCAGAGGGTCTCATTCAGTTACAATTTGCATTTCTAATAGGATCCCAGGTGCTGTGGCTGCACCTGGTCTGGGGACACCATCTGGTGCAGACCTAGCAGGGTGGCTACTTCCTGCAGTTACTGCCGGGTCCTCTGTGACCTGCTGGACCAACCCCCAATGTCACACTCCCTTCGTGAAAATAACTGCTGTGGTTTCTGTCTTCCTGACTGGACCCTCCCCTGCGGAGCCAGGGCAGGCACACCCCTACAGCGACCCTCTAGAGTCCCCACAGTATGGCCAGAAGCCACAGCAGCCCCCGGGGCATGAGTAACCAGCTGGCCCTGAGCACTCCCGTGGCCACTGGGAGCCGTGGTTTCCATTGCTAACGCGGAAAGGGAAGAGGCGAGTGGAGTCCCTTCCCTGCGGTCCCCTCCCTGTGCACATGTGTGAGCTCCACCAGAGACAAGGCAGCAACACCAACTGCGGTGGCTCCCAAACCCACCCCCCCCCCCCCGGGGGCCTGCGGCCGAAGGTGGCGGCAGGTTGGTACCACTGAAGACACCACTCCGACCACTGTCCCGGAGGCCTAGCTCCCCACGGTGCCTCTTTATCGCACAACCCAGGCTGCACTGCCCACAGGCAGCCCTTCGCTGACACTCTCAGCCCTGGATATGCGGGCTCCTGTGCTAGGCCTTCGTGGCCAAAACCACCACCACCACCACCACCACCACCACCACAGCTCCTCCGCAGCCACCAGCAACGAGAATGGGGAAGGCTCATCATCGGAGGCCTGGGTGTGGCACTGAGCCGGCCTGCAGCACTGTCTGCTGGTCTAGGAGGAGGGCGGAGAATGCCCGGGGCCTGGACATCCCCCCACCCCGCCTCCATCTGAAAACCCGACCTTCCCGACGGTGCAGAGCCAGGGGGCTGCCTTCTATGCCCAACTCCAGAACCCCCACCCGAAGCTGGACTCACACAGCCACCTGACACGCCTCCTTCCACCTCCATCTGACATCTCCTCCATTTCCACAATGGCTGCCCATCACCCTTCTCCACCTGTCCGTAATGCCGCTGCCCGCGCGTTTCAGGGCAGATTTCTGCATGTCTCCCTCTACCGGGAAGATGGAGCTACGGTTCATTTTCCTGAACATCTGTGGCCTGCTGCCTGCAAAACCAGGCGGGAGGCACAGCCAGCGGGAACTCAGAAACATCCCTGACTCGGTGGCTCATTACCGATTTCACCGGGCACGTGCCTGCCGCGGAAGCGAAAGCAGGCGGTGACATTCAGGCAGTTCACGGGCTGCTGTCCGTCACGACACTGGGGCGCCGTGATGTTGATGGAGACGGGGAGGAAGATGGAGACGTCCACCGTGATGACCGGTCTTGCCCTGCGGGTCAAGAGAGGAAGGTGACTCAGTCGTGGGGACAAGCAGCTGCCAGAACCAGACAAGAACTAAACAGACGGGACAAATCCCAGGCCTTCAGCCCAAGAGACAAGGGCCCGGATGCGCTGCCGGTACTTTTCTCTGGTTCTTCAGCTTACTTCCTAATAAATGAACGGTTAGCGTCCCAACAACAAAGGCAGGTTGGTTGTGAACAAAACACACCCGGATGAAGCCATAAACGGGCCACCGGATGTTAAAATGCCACCAATGAGGTTCCGAGTTCCATTTCATTAGGAAGAAATGAGTATATCTGAGGAGTTGGCCAGCCGATGGCAATCAGGACCCCCGGAGCCTCCACCGCCATTAGAAGCACGAACTGCGAAGTTCCAGGCCCGACCGGTGGGCCAGACCTCCCCTTTCAGTGACTCCCATCAATCCACTAAGTATTTTTTTCCGAAAGACCTTGACTAAAGGCGCCCCAGCTGCTAACAGCAAAGCACTTCGGAGCTGATGGAACCAACCCGCCTGGCCTCAGGGAAACCCCATAAACATCCCCTCCCCCCAGTGCTTGATGGATGGGCACCCCTGTTGTGGCTCCCCAGAGCGGATCAGCCCATTGTGCTCTCCCGGCAAACATCTGCTCAGGGGCCGGTCACCTAAGCTGTGGCCTGACCTTCTCCTCCCCGCCAGGCCTCACAAAGAGACCTCTCCACCTCCAGGGGACCCTGGCCTCCATGCCCTGGGCTGACATAACAAGATTAAGGGGCATTCGCGGCCCGAGAACAATGACCTTCCTTGTGCACAGTGACCCCTCCAAGAGTGCCCAGGGGGACAAGACAGATGGGAACAAGGACCAACACCAGCTCTAAGGGAAGGAAGCCTGGAAGGAAACCTCAGAGAAGGGAGGGAGCCGGGGACACGCGGCACAGATGGGGCCAGGGGATTTCACTGCAGCCACCGTTGCCAGGAGACGGGGGCCGAGAGCAACAGTGTGACAAGGACAAGGGAACTGTGGGGCTCCCGGGGCAAACCCAGCTGCAGGACTAACGGAAGGCAGGCAACAGCACTGCCCGAGAGAAATCCAGTATCCTGGCCTTCCAATGTTCTTCTGGGCTCATCCTTAGAGAATGCTATAAACAGCTTCTCCTGGTCACAGTGTCTGTACGGATGCCCGTGGTCACTCGCTACAGCCCCCCTGGCCCTTCACGGCCAGCTCAGGGGATCCCCTCCCTTCCTTAGCAACCCTAGCAGTCAATGCCCACCCCTGCTGTGATCTCTGTGTTCACATACTAATGAAGGCCGCTGTCTATTTCTGAACCTGCCCCACCGGCCTGCAGGCCCCCCAATGGCTGGGATCCTGGCGAATTCACTCCGATGGACTCAGGACAGTAACTGTCCAAAAGCCCTTGATAAATGGCTGCAAACTGTACTCCATTATTTCAAAAGGGATTAAAAGCCCAGGAAAAGAACAGGAAAGCCCAAAGTTCCACAAAACAGACAGAGGTCCCCGGGAGAGCAGGTCTGCACCCTGGGGGAGCCCTTCCCTGCCCAGACTGTGAACTTGGTGCTCTGGTCCCAAGCCTGACTCTGCCTGTATGCGAGACTGATGGCCGCTCTTTCAGACTCTCATCTGTTCGGCAAGGTAGTAGTACAGACCCGTGGGGTTCTCATGAGAACTCCGTGAATTAGTGCCTGTGAAATGCTTAGAACGGGGCCTAGTCTCATCGTATATGTCCTAGTCATCATAGAAAAGAAGAGCCAGCGCCCTGCCAGCATGGCTCAGTGATTGAGCGTCAACCTATGAACCAGGAGGTCACAGTGTGATTCCCAGTCAGGGCACATGCCCAGATTGTGGGCTGGATCCCAGTGTGGGGAGTGCAGGAGGCAGCTGATCAATGATTCTCTCTCATCACTGATGTTTCTCTCTCTCTCTCTCTCATCTGAAATCAATAAAAATATATTTTTTTAAAAAAGAACGAGATAATCTGCTGCTGACTTCCTTCTGCCAACTGAGCTAAACAAATGTGAGCGCTGCAAGGAATCGGAAATAGAGGAAGCAATCACTTGATAGCCTTATTTTGAAACATACCTCCAATCACTCTACACTTAGACTTCCACAACCCAGGGCTCATAGAACATCACAGAAAATACCCCAAGAAACGAAAAGATACTGGTTGCTGAAGGTAAATTTGCAATGAAAATTATAAACTACATGAAGGAACACCATGGAGGAGTGAGTACATTTAGCAGATGTGAGAACTGGCATCCAAAGAATAACAGAAGCAGTTTAAAGAACAATAGTATGTTTGCTTAATGTTATTAAGAAATTAATAGATCATAAGGAAAGATTAACTGACATGATGGAAAGAATGAAAAGATAATGTGTATCTGAGCTCCAGAGGAAGGACTAAAGAGAATGGGAGAAGCAATAATTGAAAAAATAATGGGTTCACATTTTCTGAAATAAATGAAAGGTACACATCTTCTGATTTTTAGTAAAGAAAAAAAAAAAGGAAAGAAAGAAAATAAAAGCCAGCCCCTCCCATCATCCCAGGGGCCACCTGGGACATCTGGTTCCTCCTCTCACGGCAGAGATTTGCAGAAGGCGAGGTGAATAGGAAACAGAAGTCAGCGGGCCAGACAAAATGATGAAAGTTGTTCAAACAGAATCCTTTGAAATGACCCGCGAGGACCTTCCCGGGCACATCTCCCTCCAACATCAGTTCCCTCCAACCTTTGTGTTCCAACTCCAAGTATTGTTTTTGGACCAGGCAGAGCCCAGAAATCTTTCATGGGCCTCTCTGATCACTTCCTTTGCCTCAATGGCATCATACCAGCCGCCTATCGTCCCGCCACAGGACCTGGCCTCCCCAGCTAATGGGAGAGAACAAACTTCCTGAGGGCAGAGCTGGCCCTGCCCGCACTCCTGTGGGCGGGAGGCTGGGCTGCCCGGGGCCAGCCTCAGAGATGAAAGCAGAGGGGCACCTCAGGACATCCATGCACATGTTCCCAAGATTTTATTTTGGGGGAAGCTGGTGGCTGTAATTCTTTCCGAGGGCTGGCAGTCGAAGCTCACGTCCAGGTGAGGAACGAAGCCAGGCAGGGTGCCCTGGGCTTTCTCGGGGTCAGTGCTGCTGGGGGGGTGGGGGGCAGAGATGGGTGGACAGAAAGAGCCTGAACGGGTGGGGAAGACGCTAGCTTGCCAAACCTGCCCCAAAGCCATCCATCTCTACATAGGAGACAGGGGACCAAGAAGCAGACTCAGAGGGGGGCAGATGTAACCTAATTTATGTCCGAATTGCTCGCATTTATTGAGCACTGAGATTAGGCCCCGTTCTAAGCGTTTCGCGGGCACTAATTCCAGGAGTTCTCATGAGAACCCCAGGGGTCGGTACTACCACCTTGCTGAACAGATGAGAATCTGAAAGAGAGGTCAGCAGACTCACAGGCAGAGTCTGGCTTGGGGCCCCGAGCACCAGGCCCCCGAGTTCACACTCTCAGACTCAGGGGGATTCTGCCTCTTCAACGTATTTGGGGTTCCCCGGGCGTTAACTGTACCCTCAGAAGCTGAAGGCACTGCTGCATGAGAGGGACCTGGGGTGAGGAACCACATGGCCCCTGGGACCCCTTCCAGCTCTGAGATCCTACTTGCCTATTTTAGAACGTTCTGCCATCGGGTTATTAACAAAACCTACGAGTTGGCTCCCACTCCAAAGTGTAATTCTGCCTCCTCTGACTCATGCAGACAGAAATGCTTGGAGATGGTTCACGGGTGGGATGGCGGCCCACGGGCCTCTGGAGGGGAGATGCAGGCTGCCTGGGCCCCAGCGCACGTCCCTCAGCTCCACTGCTACCAGGGAATGATGCGCTGTCCCTTGGGCAGAAGGCTCCTGGTCCCTGGGGGTGGGGAATGACCAAGGCGAGGAAGGGAGGATGCAGGGCAGGGTGAGAGGTGAAGACATGGGACAGGACAGCACTTCCCGGGCCCCTGAGTGTCACGGCACCCACAGGAACGATCGTATGAGCACAGCATCTGAACAAAAGGGGAAAAGGGCCGTTCATGGCTAAAAGCAAAACCCTATGGCCCAGGATGCCGCAGACTCTACCTAGGAGCTCCAAGGACGCTCTCTCTCACACCTGTGAGCCACTGCAGGCCCACCAGCTGGAAACCTGCAACAGAGAACAGGAAAGGTAGCACTGGCCCTGGCCGGCGCGCTCGGTTGGTTAGAGCATCCTCCCAATACACCAAGGTTGCAGGTTCGATCCCCGGTCGGGGCTCATACAAGAATCAACCCATGAAGGCAAAAATAAGTGGAACGACAAACTAATGCTTCTCTCACTCTCAAATCAATAAACTAAAATATTTTTTAAAAGAAAGGGAGCATTCCCACGGACTAAGCACCTCCGGCCGACAAGGAGCAGGACAGAGGGAATTGCTGGCTAAGGTGAATAACTCCCCGAAGTCCCCCCCACCAATCCCACCCCTCACCCACAAAGAATGTAATCTGAAAAGCAAGAGGGAACATCTCACCTTAGGAGAACCACGCTGTCGGACATGAAGGCTCCAATAGTTACATCTGAAAGCCAGAAACGTGCAGATTTAGAAACTTGCTGAGGCCTATCCCCTCTGCCCCAAGGCTCTCTACAGCAATGGGGCCTGGCCTCGAGGTCGGGCCGCTGATGGCCAGCCTCTGGGCCCCAGAAAGGTCCTGTCAGAGTCAGAGCCACCTGGCCCCTACGGCAGCCAATCACCAGGTGTGGCCGTCCAGCCTGTGGAATGTGGCTGGTCCGCACCGAGATGTGTTGTGAGTGTAAAATCCAGATGGATTTCAAAGACCTCGTTCAAAAGAACAGCCACCTCCTTAATTTCCATATTGACTATAGGTTAAAATGATAGTACACTGGATATACTGGGCCAAATAAAATGTTACTGAAATTAAATTCCACCTGTCCTTTTATGTGGCTACTAGAATATTCTAAACTACATATATGGGTCACATTACGTTTCTTTTGGGCATCCATGAATGAAAGAGAGGGCTACCTGGAATTACATGATCTTGGAGAAAACCCCAAGTTCTGGGGAACATGTGACTCATTTCCACTGCCCCTCTCACTCTCTGCCACCCCAGCGTCGCTCAGCACCCTTGTCTGAGCAACGGAGACAATTATCCTACGTCTTCTCCAAAAGCCAGTAACATTTTCAGAAAATACGCATTCAATATTTGTCAAACATAATAGTAAATGTGTTCGATGTACTATTTATGAAGTACTTAAATATGTATCAAATATACGAAATTAGATATTGAATTCAGAAAATACTTGGTAAACGACACACCAAAACACAAGTGTGAGCTGGCAGTGGTTATTCTAAATAACTTTAATTTAGGAAGCATTCCCTCGCCCAACAGCTCTCTGCCTTTCTTCCCATCTCATATAAGCCCTCAGCCCTGGGGTTCCCATTACTCCTCGCAGAAACCAGCATCCGAGTCCAAGAGCCTGAAGCCCTACGTCTATCCAACACCCTCACCGGGGGGGAAAACAAAGAGCAAATCCACGAACTGTGTTGCTGCTGAAATGTTTGCGGTTGGGTACACTTGCTCGTTTTGTTATGTTTGTTATGCAACCGTCTTTTTAAATTGATTGAATATCTGAAAATAAAAGACCCCGATCCATTGGCCGTTTCTTTTATGAAAAATGCAAGACAGAGTCAGATTCCTCGTGAAGTATTACCACACCTGCTCAGCACGCATATAGAGAAGCAGGCTAGGTCCTCGCCCACCACCGTGTGGTCCCTGCCAGTCCCCTCAGTTCTCTGAGGCTCAGTATCCTTGACTGTAAAGTGGGGGGGGGAGGACACCCCCATCTCCACCTACCTACGGGGGTTATTATAAGATGCCCATGGCATGTGGAAGCATTTTGCATATATTAAAGCACTAAAACGTCGTAAGGCATTATTTAGGGATGGCCACAAATTGCCAGGGACAAGAACTGCTCTCTCAAACTGAAAAAGGCCCACGAGGATCTACAGGGACAGCAACGTCCACACTGCCCCTCTCCTATCCCCACTCCTCCTGGCTCTGTACCGTTGCGAGGGATGCGCAAAACCCTGGAAGAAACGACAGAACTCGGGGCCCTCCTACAGGACTTCAGGACTTCTCCCAGGTCCTCCTGAAGCGCTCTCGGTGGAAAGAAACATCTTCTCTAGATAGATAGCAGGATGACCTACAGTTTCAGGGAAATTTTTTCTGAATTCCACGATGGTTCTGGATTTTTAAAATACTGATCTCTGTTTCCTTACCTCATCCCACTCCATCCCCTTCAAATACCTGAATCAGGTATCACTTGGGACTGGGGTTGGAAAATCCTACATTTTTATTCAATTTGCTTCAACCACCGCGAGGCATTGACTCTGAAGACGGGCCAGCCAGCCGGCCTGAACGGGGAAGGTCTGCTTTGTTCGTCAACGGTTTTCTTTTTGATCAAATCTATCAATAATTTTCATGCAGGGGGAGGGATGGTACTCAGTCCCTCTTCCCCTCTCGAGAGTAAGAAAATTCTGACTATGATTAAATAATATCAAGGAAGCCCTGGCCGGTGTCACTCAGTGCTTGAGTGTCATCCCGTGTACCAAAAGGTCACTTGTTCAATTCCCGGTCAGGGCACCTACCCAGGTTGCGGATCTGATCCCAGATTGGGGTGAGAGCAGGAGGCAACTGATCAATGTTTCTCTCTGACACCAATGTTTCTCCCTCTCCTCTCTCTCATCCTTCATCTCTCCCTAAAATCAATAAAAACATATTTTAAAAATAATATCAAGGAAAACAAGGTTTTACTATTTATCATTTTTAATGTAGATGTGTGTGTTTTTTTTTTCTTCATGAGAACTGGCAGCCACAGAATTCACGGTAAAATCCACCCACCTACTGCTTCCACTCTTCAGAGTAGGTCATTTAAAAACCCAAAAAATGCCTTGTGGACGTGGCTCAGTGGTTGAGCATTGACCTGTGAACCAGGGGGTCATGGTTCAATTCCAGTCAGGGTACATGCCCACGTGTGGACTCGACCACTCGGGGTCGTGCAAGAGGCAGCCATTCAATGATTCTCTGTCATCATTGATATTTCTATCTCTCTCTCCCTTTCCCTTCCTCTCTGAAATCAATAATAATAAATTTTAAAACAAGGAAAGAGAGGCTAAATTGGTTCTCTCTCTCTCTCTCTCTCTCTCTCTCTCTCTCTCTCTCCCTTCCTCTCTGAAATCAATAAAAAACATATTTTAAAAAATTAAAAACCCAAAAGAGATTCCCACATTTCCACCTTAAAATCAAACACCAGGCCAAACACCCGCTGCTAAGGGTGTGAATTTTCCTAATCCGACCCCGTGCATTTTTCCTTAATGTATCTCAGTGGCTCTCAACCTTCCCACTGCCGCGATCCTTTAATACAGTTCCTCATGTTGTGGTGACCCCCAATTTCATTGTTACAAATTGAACATAATTAAAGCATAGTGATTAATCACAAAAACAATGTGTAATTATATATGTGTTTTCTGAGGGTCTTAGGCGACCCCTGTGAAAGGGTCGTTCAACCCCCAACCAAAGGGGTCGCGACCCACAGGTTGAGAACCACAGGTGTACCTCATCTGCCTTAAGGGAAGTAAGTCGCTTACCGGGATAGCCGTTCCCATCCATGTCGATGCCTCCTGACATGGACTGCCCGAACATCCGCAGGACTGGGCTGATCTTCCGCCCGGACAGTTTCTGAAACAGACAACAGGGAAACTGAGTCGCCGGAAAAAAGCACAGTCCCGGATAAGCCCCGTGACTGTTTCAGCCCAGCTTCTGAGGACACCTGGACTTGACTTTGTTGAAAGACAAGCTTAACAAAAAGGAGCCCTGATTTGATCAGGAAGTCTTTGGCAGGCAGCTAAAGACCACACACTCCTTTACTACTCCTTGCCTTCGCCAGATGCCGTGATTCACATTTGTTTCTAAGTTCGGGGCTAACGAAAGAGCTACCCCGCCCAGTGTGTTGATGTTTTGACATGTTCAGTGAAGTGTGAAGTGGATAATGTGTGGCTGCCCTTTCTAATGAAGGTCCTGTGTTGTGTTTACATGAGGAGAGCTGGCTGAAATTCTAAGAACATACTTTCCCTTATATCACCCTTCCTAAACATGTAACTAACCATGTTACACTCCTCCCCTAAGCAGTACACGTTGGAGTCTTTCCCT